TTCGACTGTTACCGGTGATCGTGGCGTTCTAGATTGTGCAATGCGAACCTAATTTGCAGCTCGGGGAGTGAATTTGAAACGAACAAGTCTCGAAGAATCATTGCGATAATTCTGTATCAGGTATTGTGAGCTAGATGCGTCTAACCTCAGTCAACTGTACGCTAGGGCCGATTCTCAGTGTTTTTATACTGAGTTGTATATGAACGACTGGACAAGATTTCCCAGAAACAAACGACCGGTTTCGCGGTCCTTGCCGCTCGTCAGGTGTGCATATCCGGTAATCTTTCGTCTGGTTATTCTTATACTTAACTCCCGATGTGAATTATGTAGTGCAATCTATCAAATCTCGTCATTATTTATAAATCTCTTGATGATCTCATTGAAAGGCTTCATGCATAGCATTATGTTTGACAGTCGGTTTTTCTGGAATACAGTAAAGCGTAACCCCTCTGCGGCACACATGAGGAGTCAGATTGTTTATATAGCTATTAGCTATGGATGAAGAGGATGTGTGAAAGACTGCCGTGTGTATTGGTCTACCTGCTGGGACTCCGACCACGCACTGGTATGTGCCAAGTTGTCAACGCAATTTGGTGGCCCCAAAAAGATGAAGTGCAAACAGCTTGACATTGCCAAGCTTTCTGACCCGGCCGTACTAGCCGTTTACTGAAACCAGGTGACCGCAAAACTAACTACTACCCCACCAAGAAGCGTAGATCAACACTGGACAACCATTCAAAACGCAATGCACTCACCCAGTTTACACAGTTGTCGCCTAACCCGCCGAGTTGTAAATCACTGGGTCTCTTCCAACTCTCACACTTCATGTCGCTTCGGGCAATCCCGGCAGAATGAGATTATAATGAACAGCGCCTCTCTATGAAGCGTGAACTAGCAAAGAGTTTGAGAGGCAACCGAGAAGCCTGATGGACACTGCACCTTTTCCCATCAAGCTTTAGCCAAAACCCGAAATGCTTTAGCCACGACCCGCAGTCCTTTAGCATCGACGCACAACCTTTAGTCACACTGCTGTAGGCGAGTCAGAACAAAAACTATCGGAGTATTCTGAGGTCAACGAATATTGAAAAAATTTATATTTTACAGATTTTGATATTGCAAAGCTTGACTAATAAATGAGGTGTGGCGATCGTATGCTGCGTAGTTGACTGTAGTAATGGTATCAAATACCGCACCACATAGTGATTGGAGTAGGTTTAGACGATGTGCCCGTATCGTCAAACCATTTGGTACATCTCGTATGGTTTCAGTGTTTTCAGTGAACCAGTTTTTNGGGAGAAATCGGACTTGGTGGTTGACATTTAATTGCGCATCCAAAGCTCTCCGATGAACGGGCGCATTGTCAAAGATAAAAACTACTGGGACACCCTGTTGTTCAGTAGCGATTAGCGTAGAGCAGCTTGATAGGAACCCATTGAAAACATGCCAAGTAATCTTTGTATGACATGCATATTTCAGGATACCGGCGACAGATGAACATGCTATTATGTTCAAGTTGGGTCCTTTGCTGGACATGAGGCTTCTAATGGCTTTCCAGCCCACTTTGGATCTTCCATAGTTGCGACAGGACAATATGTTGTAATTGGTCTTCCCTTAGAGTGTGTTAATGTCCTTCTTTGTTTATACGTTTGTTTTTCTGCTTGTAATCATAGATGTTTTGTGAAAATCATTTGTTGATACATCCCTTGTGGTTCTGTTGGTACAATTGTACTAACACAGATCAACACCGACTTGCGTATGCCTCAGTACCAGTTGTAGTTGTCGCTTGGTCTTGAAAAAAATCACTCCGGCCTTGTTTGTTTTTCATCACTGCATTTCTCGCGCGCAATTACTTCTGGGGCCCACCATACAATAAATACGACTATTTCTTGTCCATTTTTCAACTGGCAGGCCATAATGGAACCAGCTAGAGCGTATGCGGAACAGACAAAACGCTGGATAATTTTGCCACTGCACAGCACTTTGTCTGCTCAGGATCAGGAAAAAGTATTTCACGTGGCCCCGGATGGAGTACGAAAGTGTGTATTGTCAACAAACATCTCAGAGACCTCACTTACCATCGATGGTATTCGGTACGTTGGTTTCTGATGTGCATTCTCCTGGTTATGGTGCATGTAGATGCTTATGCCACATCATTCAGTCCCTGACACGCTTCAGTAGCATTAACGGTTAAAGGATATCGTTTTCAATTTCTGACCCACCCGAGGGATAGTGCTTTTTAACTCCTATCTTGATAGCTTCGTATATCGTGGTCCAAACTTTAGTGATCGATCGGACTAAGTCACTGCCAAAGGTACACGGGGACCACAGGTCTTACGTTCACATTGCATCACTATCAATCTTCCGGTGACTGACTGAATATGGTGCCAACCTTTAGTTCCCATAAAAGTACAATAGGTTCGATATGATTACCACACCTAATCCATCTAGTATGCATCAAACTACCGTTGTTACTAATCATATTTTCTTTAATCATATACTTTTTCTATCTATTCGATCTCTTTTGAGAATCTCGATCTGTTGCACGTATATCACTAATATAAACCACTGTTACGAAATTCTGCGCAGAGTGAGCGTTTGCGCAATATACTCATGATTTTATGGTTTGTTGATTGTCGTTTTATATATTCTGCCCTGTATCCTGGTTGAGCAACAATCAGTGTGAATCTCACTCAAAGCTGCAATATATTTAGTCTCCCTGTCTCTCTCACACACCACAACTTTCCTTATCCAAGATTTGTCGCAGACTCGGGCAAAGTGAAAGAGCTAAGTTGGGATGCCAGTGCCCGTTTACGTCGACTCAAAGAGTTTCCTATTTCAAAAGCCAGTGCCAATCAACGAAAGGGTCGTGCCGGTAGAACTGGACCGGGTGTGTGCTTTCGATTCTATTCACAGGAGGATTACAATCAGTTTGAGGTAAGTATTCGCTGCGCGTGCACTCTCGAGCGTTTTCCGTTTTCACAAATCCATAAATGGATAACTTCGTCTTAGGCATTAGTTTAAAAGTGAAATATTTATAAGCCATCTAGGATTGCTATTTTACGCTCTGCTCCTGCTCGCAGGTTTCACTCTCTGATCATCCTGTTTCTTTTTCGCTATTTTCACGCTCACTGAATTCTTTTTGGTCGTTGCACTACAATTATCAGAATACTGTAGGCCTCATATTTGCGTATATTCGTTTTATTGCATGGTTTTGTAAGATGACTGTTTTGTGCTGTTTTTTTCACTGTCTGTTGCTCAGTTCCTTGACTGTTGATTAACTAATATCCCACTTTTAACTAATATCATTCTTTACGTTAATCACGGAATCAGCATCTTGTCCCGTTCACTTTCCCATGTACAATATATCCTTGGATAACGGCGTCTACCCCTTTCACTGTATTCACTGATGGGTACGAAATGAAAGGACAAGCAGTGGATTGATTGAAATACCACGAATGTTGTTTGCCAGTTTAAGTTTACTGGTATTTTTGATTGACTTTGTCCCACCAAGTTGCTGGTATTTGAAACCAAATAATTTCGAGGCAAAAAGTGAACGATTATGCTGTCCTCATAGACTCGTCTCATTCATGCTTTCCGAGATCGTACACAAACGGTCAGTGCATCTTCTCTGTACCTTTCTCCACTTGGTGGCCTGCAGCCATTCGTTGTGGTGATTGGTTGAGTATTCAACAGCAGTGTACCTTCCCCCACCCTTTGTATAGCAGGTCTTGTTCATGTATAGTCGATGACCTTATGAGGCCATTCTAACCCAGTGTGTATTGAGTGACCACTGCATCTTTTTTCTGATGCATACTGAATCTTTCTGTTGCACTTTTATACCGCATCTATTGATTGCAGTTAACCGCGATATTATGCACCTTAGACAAACATCTGATGTGTTAATTATGAGCTATTAAACTAGCTGATCTACAATTCTCTGTCATATCGGAATGAATCTATTTTCTGTTCTTTCTAAACCATAAGCGCAATGTACTGTTAGGGGGTAAACCGCATAATCCTTTTGACTATTGTTCTGTTGGCGTGGGGGAACCTGAAGCCATACCACAATCGTGTTCCTTCTATGCTTGAATATCGACAGGAGAAAGAACAGAATCTGGATGTGTTCCGCACTTGCTCGGCACTGGGAAAAGAGAAGAGTCAGCTGATAAGAAGGACCTGTGTCTAGGTTTTGCAAATAAATGAATTGAAGAAGGAACCGAAAGAGCAAAGTCTATCGCGCAGATTACTAAGACCTCGGTGGTCGTTGGTTTCTAATAAGCACGGTGGTGGTGCTGAAAACTTCGGGGGAGGGGTGACGATTTGATCGATGCATCCATGACCGGCGCGAAACCCGACCCGCTTTTCGTGATTCTGCTCTCACGCATATTTTATAATCTATGGCGAATGAAGGACGCTAACCGCTTCGACACTATTGAGATTGAGCTTCCACCTTTGTGATTGGCGCACTCTTTGTACGGGCCCTTTTTACNAGATGGTAACAACAATCGATTCCTTCCAACTAGTGCGGAATTACTCAGCATTCCGAACGTTAGAAAACAAAACTTGCAGTTCTCTAGCAAGCTTCACTCTATTTTTTTTAAATGGAGAAGCCCACTGGACCCCGGTGCGTCTCGATGCTTGGATCTCCTTGCGGATTTCCGCCTCGGAAGGTGAGTCTGTCGAAACAGATCTTCGGACGGGTGCTGGAGTGGCTGTGTGAAGCTGTCGTCACCGCCCGGCTAAGCAGTGCCTCGAAGTGCTCCGCCCAGCGTACAAGACCTCGCTGTTGGGTGAGAATCTACTGGCCGTCGGCTTCACGCGTTGTTTCGCTCACACTCAGAACTTTCCAACCCATGGCCCAGATCAGATGCTGCAAGTTACGAGAATTAACCATGGTGATAGCACCTTCCATCTCTGTGGTGCGTTGAGCCTACCGGATTTCACGGTCTCGTCGTAGGCGTGCGTTGAGTTTACGTCTAATTATGAGTCGTGCTTCGTTATGCTCGCTGGCGGTCGGGATTGGACGACGAAGATGTAGAGAATCCGCAGAAACCCAGGTTGTCATAGCACGACGTGTCAGACCACAACTAACTAGGCCAGTGGAATGCAAAGCGTTTGCGATAAGTGACCAATGCTGATTGGTATTAGCGGATAGGGTTGATTTTCGCTTGTCAGCTAGGCCATCCTGAAAGACAGTTAAGTAAGCTTGTTCAGATAGCTTGTCATGATCTAACTATCGCTGTGTCGTGTCCATCGAAGCATTTAAGAAGCTCAGTGCAGAACAATGTGTGGTTTAATCCGATTGGAGTACTCCAGTACGAACGGCAGTTTTGTGCATACCCCCGCCATTTGTGGCCTATAGCTATGTGGCCCATCTGCGTTCGTCGCTGACTCTAGTAGAGCGAACGCCGAGTAGCTTTCCGACAGTTGTATCGTCTGAAATTCCTACTAGCGAGGAATAGGTGGTGGACAGAGCACAAAGCCAACAGCGTTTCACCGTTTTCCAAGTAACGGGAACCGAGTCTGAAAGGGTATCCCAGATGCGGTTCGCTCGAAGACAGCCGACCTACTCTAACATGCATGTCTTCTGCTTGAGGTCGGTTAGCTTTGACTTTATGCAGTTTGAACTGAGCACTGAAAACGATGAGAAGATGCCAAAGAAGAGAAAACCACGCTCTACAAGTGGCCTCCGTATTCCATGATGCCATCAATTTTTACCTTCTGCAGGGTGAGGTGTTCAGAGGGTCAAAAACCGTTTTGCGCGGAAAATTTGGATAATCCTCCTGGGCGAGCGCAATGCAAGTTCAGAAGTACGAGAAAGCCAATTCATAAGAGAGGTGTGAGTGGCATTGAAAGCGCTTCGATTTTTANTTTTACTGTCCCGAGCAGGGTAGACAATCAGACCTGAGTTCGGTGAATCACAAACTGACAGTCGCTCGTGAGTGATTGTGATAGAGGAAGCGCAGGAAGAACGAGGACAATGTGAGGTGGCATTATCGACAAAGCAGGGATAGGATTAACAGTTTGCGATAAGAGTTCGACGAGGAAGAGGAGGGAGAAGGTAGGGCTTGCCCTCCTATTGATATCAATAACACTAACCGACTAACCACAAAGGGACCTGTCTGCATTTGAGCGATGAGCCTTCACTTGCTTGTGTCTAGTATTGAAGTTGGTTTGATCTTCCCGTGATAAGAGAGCAGGATTGTTTTGTTCTGAAACCCATGCACTCATTTTCATCCTCGTGTAGCTTGTATTTATAGGCATCAGTGGAGACCCGTGTTAAAGACCCGAATGTTTGCCAGGTTCAATGAGTTTATGCAGATTAGGCTCGAGGGCATGACCTCTGGTGTGTTTTCCTTGAGCACAGTTACGCTCGAAACACGCAGCTGTTCCGAAAAAAGCACGAGACAATTCTGTGNGTGTGTGTGTGTGTGTGTGTGTGTGTGTGTGTGTGTGTGTGTGTGTGTGATAAAGTGGGTCAAAGGTGATCACAAGGACGGCACATGAATCACAGCAAACCAGCAAGGTCAAAGCTCACCACTGCGTGATCACAACTGCAATGTGATGAGAGCGATTGAAACTAAGGTAAAATCAGATTCGCAAATTTAGATTGATCACCGTTCCGTTATTTTTCCAAGACCTTTGTATTTAACTCTCGATCTAGATTCGATAGATGCAGTCTGACAGCATTCCAGTGGAATAGTTTAACAATCCATTTCAGCTTTCACTGTTAAGCCTCCAACGTAATTGATGAGTTGGTTCTACCCCCAGGTTTAATCGGTTACCCAACTATCACTACTGATTGATCTATCTGACCAGTCTGGCTCCTTTCTCGCACTTCATTCTTTTTCATAATGAACTGTCCGTTTTTTTCCTAATTGTGCATTTTAGTTGCTTAATGAGTGGATCGCTTTCAAGGGCTTTCATTTTTGTTAAGAATCTGCAGTAGTGTCTCGATCGAATTAACTAAGATTCGAATGCAGGCTCGGTGGTTCGGCTGTTCAACACGCTACCCTCAAAGGCGTTACATCCATTAGACGCAGAGTAGCCCCTGTCCGATCGCCCATCCTGATTCTCTCTCTCTCACTTATGTTTCATTTTTCAAAAGCTATGTGGCACCTTCAATCATCGTACTACTGTGCAAACACTGCGTCGATTTTAATTTGTTAGGCGATTTATTCTGCTGTCGGGCAGCGCTCAAATACATGCTTAGAAAACCGAAGTTTGTGTGATTCGCTGCGGGTTTGCTTCATTCACTGTGAGCTTGGTGATACCAGTTTTTTCTCGGCATTCGTTTGCATTGTCCTCGGGGTTTCTTTTTCTCAATACCCCACAGCTCTTCCTGTTCCCGACACCTGATCAGCGTTGTAACAATAGTGCATTAACTGCACAGACTGTCATCGGACTTATCGCATACTTTATTGCTTGATATTTTCTCTCCGTGTGCATATTTACATGAATGATTCAACTGAAACGATTCGGTGATGAAAGTTCTGTCCAAATGATAACTATACAAGTCACGAAACAACCACAAAATGCATCTGGTCAACTTATACTTTTAAACCATTTTCTCATGACCCCGCGACCCTAACGCGTGATGACACGTCCACATCCTAATTGTTTTAGACCATTATCGTTTCATCCCACCGGTTCCGGACCTGTTCTACTGTGTAGAATCTGTCAATCCGCATTTTCGCCTACGCTAAACAAGTAAAATACAGTCTATTCTGTGTATGCTGCATTAATTTTGTTTGATTTGATCTGTTCAGATTATACAGTTATTTACAATGCACTTTCAGTGGCCCATTTGGATTTGATAATTTGAACCCAAGTACATAGCATAATAGTGAATGTTCTTCTAACCTAAATCGGACTCTTTTCCTCTATGTAATCGCAAATGTCATGATTGAGTGTCTTGTTTGCGGACACTTTGA